GCTCATCAGTGTTACAAATGTCACTCTTACTTATATACAGGTATTCTCTTTCTTACTCTACATCTATGATACATTACAACGGCTAAGATTTAGTTATTAGAATTTTTTACTTAATATATAAAATCTCTATCTTTCCAAACTGTTTGTTTCTACGAACACTTCAATGTTCTAGAATCCTTTATTACTTTACAACACTCTATACTTTTATATGGGATCACAATTTTAATAACTTTAAAAATATATATATATATATATATAAGTGATATTTTACCCATTTAATATTTAATTTTTTATGATAGTTATCTCCTGTTTTATATAAACTACTCCGTAATCATTTGGTTTAGTTACAAAAAAAAATTTCTTCATATTTTAAGTAAATTACTTTCCTTTTATCCAAACAAATGCTACTTTTCCCTTCCTAGACACAAACTATTACAATCACATCCTATTCAGAAGGACCAATCTATGTGTTTTATAGGCCACAACCGTGCATAATAAATGTTCAGCACTAGTAGCTACCACACCGAGTTCCAAATCCTCTTAACACACGTGACATCAGTGGGGACTAACATGTCCTGATTTTACATTGGAATGTAATTTTTTTACAAGTCAATGTAGGAAAATGATATGAAGAACAGTGTGATTCAAAGAGCTCAAGTTTCTGGTAGAGACACAGATTCTCCTTAGACCCCACAAAGGACATCCATGTTCTCCCTAATCTCAACCAAATAGGACCCATGATTAATAGATTATACACCCAAAGCCAAACATAGATGCCTATCATGATATCATCACTCTCCTTTTTTTGGTCCAATATTGCGCATATCAGTATGCATGTCACTCCCGTTTTATCTGTTCTTTGAAACATATATATACCCTCTTCCACCCTCCCCTTTCTTCACCAACCCATTCCTCTTCTTCTTCTTCTTTTTCGAATACCCACCTCTGTCATCACAACAAAGCATACAACATATATTGCTAACCTCCCCCAAAATCCAAATTATATACAAAAGAGAAAATGTCTGGAGTTTTGAAGTTCAAGGATAAGGGTACTGTGATTCGCTTTAACGAAAATCCGAGAGCGAATCAGCACAATGATGGAAGGCAAGGTACCTCCAGTCGAAGAAAGGTTTTAGTGCACTTACCCACGGGTGAGGTGGTGTCCTCGTACGCCTCACTCGAGCAAATTCTGGGGGGATTGGGATGGGAGAGGTACTCCGGTCGTGCCAGCGATCCCAACCTCCTGCAATTCCACAAGCAATCTTCCATTGACCTAATCTCTCTTCCTAGAGACTTCTCCAGGTTCAGCTCTGTTCACATGTATGACATTGTTGTCAAAAACCCGGATGTCTTTCACGTCCGTGACATATGAGCGTATTAGTCTCGCGCTAATTAATGACTCTCCTCCTATTCTCTAGTGCATGCATGCAATATGTTATGATTGTCTGATTTTACTAGTCTCTATAAATGACTCTATAGTCTATATAAATGAGTCATGATAAGCTGTTCAGAGTTTTGGACAGCAAATAATTATCCTATATATATATATATATATATATATATATAGAATAAAGAGGGAGAGTTGGTGTGTTTAATTATGACGTTAAGGTATTGCAATGTTTTGTAAGTTCATCAATATGGCTTTGTTTCATACTATAATAAATCAATGCCATGGAACTTTATTTCAGTTTATGAATTGTGGATATTATGAGTTATGATCCAAATTTTATTTTATTATTATTATTATTATTATTATTATTTTATATCAAGAAACACACCCTAATTACACACTTACTTTGTCATACGAGTACTTAAACTCTTACCATCTACTTTGACAATTATCCACTCTCTGCCATATCATCCAACCATGAATGCTACTTGAATTCTCCTTTTAGTGATGCATGTAGAAGGTGCAGCAAATGGTCGATCCCAACGTGTTCTTCAACTGACACTAAGATATTTGTTAAAAAAAAGGTTCACAATTAATTAACCTGCGCGCGCAGGCACTAAAATATCATAAAACACTAAAAAGAAGTTGTTAAATACATGTGTCATGTAGGATCTTCAGACCATCTCTCCAAGCATACACAGTAATTAAAAGGTTTTATTTTCAATTTCGTGTGTAATAGAACGAAGCAAAAATTTTTTTTTTCTTTCATTTTTTGTTTCTTATAAGTGTTTTGTTCTGGTGTAGAAATTGATGTGATGTATCTGCAACTGAACATCGTACGTGAAGAAAAAAAGGTGGTGTATATATATATGGGTAGAGACTTAGAGTGAGACATAAAACTTAAAAGCGATATCATTTCACCATCGCAGCGCACAAAGGAACTATGGCATCACAATCTGCAAGTTGCACTAAAAAATTTCCCAAAAAAAAGGAGTTAATTACCGAAAAAATTATAAAAATTACCTAAAAAAAAACGAAAAGAGGAGTAAAAAGAAAAGGAAAAAAATGAAGATATATTTTTAGAAAGGGTAAATTTTAGGGCTTTTGAGTTTAATAGGCAGAGTATTTTGTATCTTATAAACAGTTTGATTGGGTAAGTGAAGGTGCATCAAAAAATTTGGGTGTACGTGTGTGTATTGATGTGGGGTGGGGGTGCACTTTGTAAATTCTTATTTTAAATATACATGTAAAAGTACAAAAGAGAAACAAAAATTAAGGGGTGCTGTTCCTTAATTCCCTCCATCGAAGAAATTGTACCATAATCCAAGGTCCGTTTGGTTAGATAAAAAGTAACAGTGAAAAGGAAAAGTGAAATAAAGTAGAGTGAATGAAAGAAAAATTAAGGGTGCTTGGTGTTTAACTTAGAAAATAGTTTTCGAGAGAAATAAAAATTACAAATTTGTACAAAAATGTTACTTGATTCAATTTTCTAAAAACTCAATTATAAAAAGTCTGTTTTTGAAAGAACTTACTTTTATAATTCTCTAAAAAATAATTTTCTATTTTTTGAGTTATTAAGAATTTCTTTTTGAGTAACAAACCAACCAGGCCCAAGTTTCTAACATGTGTTTTGATTGTAGTTACTAAAATTACCTTATGATTTCAAAGTTTAAAAAAATAAATAAATTTATGTTAGAGATAACCAATTGTTAATTTCTATTATTAAAAATAATAATATAATTACTTATTTTCATTTTTAAATTATTCACATTTGAGGAAGGTTAATTTGAGATGCTTGCTTCCACAATATATAGTCATAGAGGCCAATTTCCTTCCAATAATGCGTCTTCTTAAGCTATTGTCATGGACAAATCCATCATAAGCCTATAAACACATGGAATCACCTAATGATAAGGGCATAATAGGAAACATAAATATTAAATGACAAGTTCCAGGACAAACTAAAATTTTCTTGTATTTTATACCGGACATGTTTCGAAGAAAATCAACTAAATCTACTTAATTTAAAGAAAATTTTCTTTTTTCCTTTTAACCAAATTATTAAAAAATTAATCAAAAATCAATTTATTTTTTCTTTGGTACTTCTACCTAACCAAACATGCATTAAGGATATTTATTATGTGGTACTTCAGTCAATAAAAATAGTAAAAATTTCTATATTTCTATGTTATTAATACAAAATAAAATTTTTTATGACTATATCCATTTAGAAATATTGTGTACTTTTTCTGAATCTGTTTTGATCGGAGGAGATAAGCTGCGCGGTCCCGGAAGAGGCAAAGGGTGGATGGTTTGCACGTGAAGTGGATCGTGATTCTTTGAAAAGGCTATGAAACCCTCCCTTCTTTTATAAGAACCCTACTAGTTTGGGCCTAATGCCCCTAGCTCAAAAGAGACAGGCAGATGGCATTACCCATCATAGTGGGTCACACGTACACCTGGCTATCTCTATTTGGCCGCGGCCTAATCTGTCTGAAAGAAAATTCCCTATCTTCCTTTTTCCTTCATTCCTTGCTCCCTGTAGTAGTCGTGCTATCAAAACTCAAACAAAGACTTGACACTATCAAAAAAAGGTTGCCGGTTCAATCTTCTTGTGCCATCGTTAAGATAATCTGAATAAACACTCCACTCAGATACCACTTGGTTGATAGTCTCTTGTATAAATTATTTCTTTCGTCCTAATTTAAGTGTATAAATTATTCTTTTTAAGTTTTGAATATTTAAATTTAAAATTCAAACAATATATATGAAAAGATGTAAAATATATAGTTTGAGAAAAAGAAAGTGGATAATTATTTTATAACAGACAAAAATAAAAAAGCATGACACTTATTTTAAGGCAGGGAATACTAATCAATTTGGTTTACATTGAAAATATTTTCATATTTTGAAGTCCATTAATTACCTTTTTCCCAAACAAATGCTACTTTTCCTTTGAATATACACAAACAATATCCTATTCAAAAGGACCATATATCTATATATGCTTTTATCTGTTGGATCTTCATCAGGCGACCATTGTCCAACAGTAGCTACAAAGCCTACAATACCTAGAATGCCCTTTCGGCAATAAACTCTCCCCCATATATATATACAACTAGGCAGCTTCTTGATTTGTTCCCATTAGTTCACTTGCTCGCATTAGTTCACGTGGACAAACACGTGACAAAAGTGGGGATACAACATGCGGAAGTCTAAATTTTTCCACCACAAGGATGCTAAGTGTGCCCTAGATTACACTCTAAGGGCATCCATGTAGCCACTAGTCTCAACCAAATAGGACCCATGATTAATAGATTATACACCAAAAGCCAGACATACATGCCTTTCATCAATTCATCCCTCTCATTTTTGGTCCAATGTTAATATATTACCCATACAAGTATCACACTCTTCGAGCTCTTTGAAACATATATATATATATATATACCTTCCACCTTCCCCTCTCTTCAACAACCCATTCCTCCTCTCTTCTTCCATTACCCACAACCATCATCATAACATAGCATACAATACAACATATATAGAATATAGTCACACAAACACAAAATTAACAAGCCTCCGATCGATTATATATATAGAAAAGAAAATGTCTGGAGTTTGGAAGTTCGATGAAAAGGGCGTGATTCGCTTTAGTGAAAATCCGAGAGCTGATTCTGCTGGAAGGAAAGCTAACTCCACTCGAAGGAAGGTGTTAGTGCACTTAACCACGCGTGAGGTGGTGTCCTCATACACCTCGCTCGAGCAAATTCTGAGGGGATTGGGATGGGAGAGGTACTCCGGCAGCGCCAGCGATCCCAACCTCCTGCAATTCCACAAGCAATCTTCCATTGACCTAATCTCTCTTCCTAGAGACTTCTCCAGGTTCAGCTCTGTTCACATGTATGACATTGTTGTCAAAAACCCTAATGTCTTCCATGTCCGAGACATGTGAACGCATTAGTCTCGCGCTAATTAATGACTCTCCTCAGATTCTCTAGTGCATGCATGCATGTATTATTATGTTTTATTCCTATGTTTCCTCCTTGTGTTTAGAAATGGCTCTATATATGAGTCATATATGATAAACTGTTCAGAGTTTGGACAGCAAATAATTATCCTATATATATATATGGAATAAAGAGGAAGAGTTGGTGCGTTTAAGATGTATTGTAACGTTTTATAATAAGTTCATGAATATGGCTTTGTTTCATTCAATAATTAATTAATGCCATGGAACTTCAATATTTCAGTTGATGAACTTGTGGGTACTATGAGCCTTATGATCCAGCTGGCAATCATGGCATCCAACCATGAACACTGCTTGAGTTCTCCTTTTAGTGATGCATGTAGAAGGTGCAGCAAATGATCCCAATGTGTTCTTAACCTGACACTAAAATGGTATTTGTTAAAAAAATTAAAAATTCACAATTAATTAACCTGGCACTAAAATATCATAAAACATAAAAGAAATTGTTAAATACATGCTTCAGGATCATCAGACTATCTCTGCAAAAACACACAATAAAACTTTTTATTTTCATGCCCGTACGTGCATGTGTAACTGAACCAATTTACCAATTCTCTTTTCACTTTTTGTTTCTTTTAACAGTGTTTTGTTCTCTTGAACATTGTACCTGAAGAGAAAAAGGTGGTGCACTGTACCATAAAATTTCATTCTTATATATACACACACATATGTAGTAGAGTGTAGAAGCATGCTACAAAAGAAAGGAAAAAAGAAGAAGAAAAAGACATAAAAGTGATACCATTTCACCTAGTATCTCATTTATATAATTAATTATATGTTACTAGTACCAAACGGTCCATACCTACCTTTAAGGAAAACTATACAGTACTTTAATGTTAACCGGGATACACATGGAAATACTCTTTTCTCGTGTTTGAGAGAGAGAGAGTGAGAGAGACTGGTGAGGTTCTAGTAATGAATCTGATTTTTATTGGATCAGAAGAAGCTGCGCGGTCCCAGCAGAGTAGATGGTTTTGCACGTGAAGTGGATGGTGATTCTTAGAAAAGGCTATGAAGCCTTCCTTTTTTTTAATAAGAACCCTACTATATTTTTTTGGCCTATTAGCCCAAGCACAGGTAAGTTCAGAACCCAATCATGATGGTTCCCACTTACACCTGGCTATCTCCATTTGACTGCGGTTAAAAGAAGTTTTTTTATAAATTTTTTTTTCCTTTGCTCATGACATTATCCACAATCACAAACAAAAAATAAATAGTAATACTAATAATAATAAAAATAATAAAATAAAATCCAGCAACGAGTTGAAGATCGGAGAAATTCTAGCCAATAAAAAAGTTGACTAAAATCAATGTAGACATTTGATTGTACGTGGATTTTTTATTGGATTGGCCGCCTATGACTTCAAATTATTTAATAAATTTTCAGTTAGAGATTGTCAATTTTCTTGAACATCATTAAGAAATTGAAACAGTACTTGCGTACTCCGGTGAGTAGATATTATTATTATTATTTATTATTTATTATTTATTATTTATTTTTTATCAATGTAGCACATATGTCTATTTTAAATTTAAAACATATATATATATATATATTTATATTTACAAAAATCTTAATTTCCCTCTCTTATATATTTGAATTGAAAATGGACTTGTAGCACATCCATATAGGGAAACAGAACCTACACCTACACGCACTAGTAGACAAGTATCCTTGTAATAAATTTCTCTTTTAACTGGTGTTGGTGTTTTACGAGTCCCGAAACCACCATTAACGAAGAAAAAAATAATTTAAAAAGTATGATTCGATCGATCATTGAGGATGCTACCTAGGTGCAACAATATACTTATTTTTAAGGTAAAATATATAGACATTTTTAAGATTTGGTCTAACCACTCACGACAATCATATTTAATATTAATTACACAATGTTCCGATCCATGCGTTTATTACATCGTGTTCTGTAGGGGATGTATCCCACAGGTTCACGTGGCACCCATATGGACCCTACTCCCTGGACATCATGGCTCAGGTTGAGATCAAGGACACCTTCATAAGGCACCCTGAGAGAGACCATGTAGCCACATTTCAAGTATGAGAACAGAGCCTTTCTTAAGGCGCTCGAGGATAACACCCATAAATGTAGCGGTAAGGCGAGACCAAGGTACGTAGGATGGTCTCGGGGGTTTGCATTTATTTTATTGGGAAATGGAAGGATCTTTGGTTTGGAGGATGAAAGGTTATAGCTCGCCTTACCTATAGGTCTAGTCAATGAGTTGATGAAATCACGTGCCTTGACTGGAACACTTCAATCACATTTAATGCGCTCAGTTACAACCGCGCAATTTTGAGGGGATGTGCATTAAATGCGCACAAAACATCTTCACGAGTCGAAAGACCATTATAATCCTATTACACCTAGAAGGGTCATGATGGCTTAATGAAGTAGGCTCGAGCTTTAAGAGTGACCCTCGAGGACTAGGTAATGAGCTAATAGAGACTATAAAAGAGACTTTCATATGTATGCATGAAGTCAGGAATGAACAACTTAAAAACCACACACAAGGCAACCGATCTTCCTATATTCATCACTGATTTAATTGATTAGTCTCTATATCTCTTCTTTCCTTCTAAGGCTTCTGACCAGGTCCATCACGTACAGTTTGTATCTAGATATCACCCCTGCTACTTATACATGTACTCAAGAACTTCACATGTTTTATGTTTATCCGCCGTGTGTGTAGTTATGATAAACATGACTAACTTTTTTTTTTTTGTAAATGAAAAAGATATGCAGTTCAGTTTAGTTATATTATATTGTAAACAAACACACTCGCAATAGCACCCTAATAGAGGTGAGCTGGGTAGCCTAGTAGGTAAAGACACTCCCCCAAGTCATGTGGGAGCCCAAGTTCGTCGACTTTCCCCCTCTTTGCTAGGTAAAAGGGAAAAAACACAATATTACCCAAAATGGCCTCCTCTTATGTATATGATGCTACCATCAACTTCTCTCTCTTTCTATATATAAGAATTCACAATAAGTCTCATTTTATGAATAAACAATTTTGTTCCAAAAACTATACGAGTTGTCACACGATTCATTTAGAGAATCCAGTAATTCCTGAAAATTTGAATCATGGCCATCCAACATTAGTCACTTTAAATAAATAAGCCAAGAACGATAATTGGTCATTGGCATTTTGATAGTAAAAAGAAAAAATGGCATGCAATAGTTATACTACAACAAATAAAGGTATTAGGGACGGATTTTTAGCGACGAAATCAAATTTGTTGCAAAAGATGGTAATTTTTTGTCACTTATGTTTAACTATTTACAACAAACCTCCACATTCGTTGCCTAATGTATACTTTTTGCAACGAAATTCAAGTTTGTTACAAAGTGCTTATACCTTAGCAATAAATTCAAGTTTGCCTAATGTCGTTGCAAAATCTCATATAGCACCCTCTGATATTGTGTTTAGCAACAAAAAAATGGTTTGTTGCAAAATTAGAACTTAGCACCAAATATTTTGTTACAAATTCTATTATTTTTAGTAACAAAAATAATTGTTGGCCAATTCTTTAGTTTTTGCGACAACTATTGTATTTGTTGCCTAAGGTGAACTATTTTGCAACAAACTTCTAATTTTTTGTAACAATAAATGATTTGTTGCAAAATGTCGTTACAAAATATTCCACAAACTTATATAAAACTATGAGAAAATATAGAGTAATATTGAGAAGTTGCAACATACTTGATACAAGAACAGAATGTAAGAGAAACAATAGATAGAGAAGGAAGATAGAACTCTTATTTACTTTTGTTGGTGTGTTCCTTTTACAAAACACTACACTTCTTTATATAGAGTCTTCACCACCTAATGCACTGCACTTCACTCATCATAGAAGGCACGCAATACATAACCCACTTCAATAAATACATAATCCACTGAGATATACAATACTCTGAACATATCATATTCTGCAGTAACAATCATGCATGGAGCTAGTAAATGATGAAGTGGACCCCACTATATTACAACACTCCCCCTTGGGGTCCACTGCACTACACTAAGAATATGTCTCATTAAAACTTTATTAGGAAAAATCCAGTGGGATAAAAACACAGCGAAGGAAAAAGAGTACAATATCCTTGTGTCATTGGAAATTGTATTGCATAGGTTAAAACTACCTCATTAAAACCTTGTTAGGAAAACCTGTGAGATATATTTTTGTAATTGGCATATTTCGGTAACAAAACAAGTCCTAGTCGAGTTGTAATTTCAGCTACCATATTAGACTTGACATCGACTGCGGAACTCAGGGGTTGTTCAGAAGATGAAAGTACTGTTGATCATCGAAAAGGAATAAACAACACATTACCTACATGGTATATTTTCAGAGTTCCAAAAATACAGAAATTCTAATTTCACGTTGGATTTTGTCAAGTGGGAACCGGTACCTGCATTTGGGAACCGGTTCCAGAAGCTGAAACTCGAGAAACAATATTTTGTCCTTTGGGAACCGGTATCAAGATTAATTGGGAACTGGTTCCAAGTGTCCTGATTGCAAAAGGTTTCCAGTTTCCTTATTCTGTTTAATTCTTTTTTGATCCAACTTTTCTTCTAAATCCTATGCACGAAATTTCCTTTATTTTAAAAAGGAATGGGACTTTGCAAACCTCTATATAAACCATATCATACACGTAGGTTGAGATACGACTTTTACATCATTATTCATATATCATACAAAGCCTTAGGAAGTTTATTTCTCTCAGAAAATCAAAGTTGATTTTTATGTTGTCTTCCTAGAACACACATATATTCACCTAGTGAGGTTAGAGTTGTGGAGTTTGAATCCTGATCGTGATCATACAGTTGTATCTACATCGATCAGACAAAAGCAGATCTTCTTCAATATCAAGTTCAGACGGTTAAAGAACAGAAGTAAAAACAATCACACTTTGAAAGGGTTGGAGCATTCGAGGAGTGTTGTCTAATCTACCTACTACTCTTCTACAAATATCAAGTGTAAGCCTGGGGTTAAATTGCTGTTGGACGGGGAGTCGCAAAGCCAGAGGATTATCAGCAGTTGGTGTTTGGTAGAACGACAAGGTGTGAGCCAAAGTCAAAATTCAGTGTACTTTGTTTCAAGCATAGTGGATCGGTTTACTTTGGACTGCACAGTTTATAAGGTTTTTCCCATAACAGTTGACTTATTTTATCAACTAGGGTTTTCTCACTAAAATCCCGGTGTCATCTCTAACTTTATACTTTGCTTTATTTTATCTACATGTGATTAATTGTTTAATTGCTAAAATAAGTAAAGTTGGAAAAAGACACATATCTATTTTAACATAATCTAAAACTTTCCTAAGTATATTCTGTTGCGTACAACTCACAAAACCTAGTTGGAAAAACCATAGCGAAGGAAAAAGAGTAAAATATGCCAATACATTTTCAATTCAATTGCTCCCCCTCATTCAGCATTAAATACCATTGAGTCGACACATTCCAAAATTATCCACCAACTTCTTGAATGTTGTAGTTGGAAGCGCTTTAGTGAATAAATCTGCTAGATTATCACTCGAGCGTATTTGCTGAACATCAATATCACGGCTCTTCTGGAGCTTGTGTGTGGAAAAGAATTTTAGCAAAATATGCTTGGTTATGTCATTTTTTATGTAGCCTCCTCTTACTTGTGCAATACATGTTGTATTATCTTCATATAATATTATTGGTCTATCTTTGATTAAGGAAAGTTCACATGATTCCCAAATATGTTGTATCACAGATCTCAACCAAACACACTCTTAACCTGTTTCATGAATTGCGAGTATCTCAGAGTGATTTGAGGAAGCAGATGCAGTCATGGTCTGTTTCATAGATCGCCATGATATAGCGGTATCACCATAAGTAAACAAGTACATTGTTTGTGATTGGGCCGTATGTGGGTCAGAAAGATAACCTGCATCTGCATATCCAATTAACTGTGGCTTTATTTTCTTAAATAAAACAACCTCATATTAGTCGTTCCTCGAAGGTAACGCAGAATATGTTTGACTTTATTCCAATGTCTCCGAGTTGGTGCAGAACTATACCATACTAGTAGGTTGACTGCAAATGTTATATCAGGTTTAGTACAATTCGGAAGGTACATAAGAGCACCGATTGCACTAAGATATGATACTTCAGCACTAAGAATTTCTTTATCATCTTCTTGAGGGCGAAAATGATCTTTCTTCACATCATGTGATCGGACAACCATTGGAGAACTCAATAGGTGAGCTTTATCCATATAAAAGCGCCTCAAGACTTTTTCAGTGTATATTGACAAATGGATAAGAATTCCATTTGGTAAATGCTCGATCTGCAGGCCGAGACAAAATTTTGTTTTACCAAGATCTTTCATTTCGAACTCTTTAGGAGTTCCCACAAGATTTAGATTGTTAACATATATAGCTATAATGGCAAATTCAGATTTTGATCTCTTTATGAAAATGCATGGACATGCAAATTGGATTATTCACAAATATTTTTCTTTTAGTATATAATCGCTGAGACAATTATACCACATGCGCCAGGATTGTTTCAATCCGTACAAGGATCGTTGTAGCTTGATCGAATACATGGTACGTGATTTCAAGTTATTTGCTTCAGGCATTTTAAACCCTTCAGGGATTTTCATATATATGTCACTATCTAGTGATCCATATAAATAAGCCGTAACCACGTCCATCAGACGCATATCCAATCCTTCTGAGACTGTCAAACTGATCAAAAAATGAAATGTGATTGCATCCATCACATGAGAGTATGTCTCCTCATAATTAATACCAGGTCTCTGCGAGAAACCTTGGGCTACAAGTTGACCTTTGTATCTTATAATTTCATTTTTCTCATTATATTTTCGTACAAATATCCATTTGTACCATACAAGCATGACATTTTCAGGTGTCTGGATTACAGGTCCAAATACTTCACGTTTTGCTAATGAGTTTAGCTCAGCCTGTATTACTTCTTTCCATTTTGGCTAATCATTTTTACGTCGACACTATTCGACGTTTTGAGGTCCGGGATCCTCATTATCACTTGCAATATCAAGAGCAACTGCAAAGGAGAATATATCGTTAATAATAATTGCATTTTTATCCCATAATTCTCCATAATTTATTCAGATCTCATTATTTTCAATTACCAGTGCTTCTTCCGGGGCATGCTCCACTTCCGGGGCCTTTGTCTCTTCTGGGGCTTGCGTCTTCTGGGGCATGTATCTCTTTTGGAGCTAATTGTTTATAAAATTTAGATTGATCAATCATTTTCGTTTTTCCTCTTGCAAGTGTGGCCTCTTCAGGAGCGCCAATTTCTTTATTTGATTTCTTTTGTACTTTCCTCTTCCGGGGAACAATATTTTTTGCACTAATAGGCCTACCGCGCTTTTGGCGTGTTTTAAATACATCAGCTACAATACTAATGGGTTGTCCTTCAGGGACATCAATTCGAGCTGGAATATTTGCAGCCGGTATATGGTACTTTACCACTTTCTTTGTGTCAGTGAATGCATCTGGCAATTGATTTGCAATATCTTGCAAATAAATGATCCTCCGAACTTTTAGTTTACATTGATTTGTTCGAGGATCAAAATTAGATAAAGCTAAATCCAATTAATCTCATGCCGCTCTGTTGGTTGTTTTTTTTCTCCCTCTAATGGTGGGAAGACAGTCTCGACAAAATAACAGTCAGCAAATCGTGCTTTAAAGATATCACCTGTCATAGGTTTAAGATATCTAATGATAGATGGAGAATCAAAACCTACATAAATCCCAAGTCATCGTTGAGGACCCATTTTTATGCATTGTGGTGGTGCAGTAAGAACATGTACAGCGTAACCAAAAACTCGTAAGTGAGAAATATTTGGTTATTAACCAACTAAAAGTTATAAAAGTGAAAAACTATGGTATGCAGTTGGTCTTATGCGAATTAAGGATGTTGTATGTAATATGGCATGTCCCCAAGCAGATATAGAGAGCTTTGTTCTTATAAGTAATGGTCTAGTAATTAATTGAAGACGTTTAATAAAAGATTCTGTAAGATCATTTTGGGTATGAGTGTGCGGAACAGGATGTTCAACATCAATGCCAATTGACATATAATAGTCATCAAATGCTCGAGATGTGAATTCACGGGCATTATCAAGATGGATTGTCTTGATCGAATAGTCCGAAAATTGTGCTCGTAATCAAATTTTGAGCAAAAAATCGAGCAAATGTAACATTACGAGTAGAAAGTAAACTTACATGTGACCATCGTGTTGATGCATCAATTAAGACCATAAAATATCGAAATGGTCCACACGCTGAATGAAATGGTTTACATATATCCCCTTGAATTCTTTGTAAAAATATTGGGAATTCAATGACGACCTTTGAGGGTGACGGTCTGACAATTAATTTACCTAGTGAGGAAGCGGTACATGGAAAATTATTTGACAAAAGAATCTTCTGGTTCTTTAGTGGATGCCCATGTGAATTTTCAATGATTCGGCCCATCATTGTTGACCCAAGATGACCAAGGCAATTATGCCAAAATATAAAAATATTTGGGTCAGAGCACTTCTGATACGTTACTGCATGTGACTTAATTGCTCTTATATTTGTATAATATAATCCAGAAGATAAAGTAGGGAGTTTTTCTAATACATGTTTCTGGCATGTAATACAGATATATTCAACACTCCCTTCATTTATAGTCTCAATATGATAATTGTTGAGACGTATATCTTTAAACCTTAATAAATTTCTTTTGGATTTCGTAGAATATAGAGCATCATCAATATTTAGTTTTGTTTCACATGATAACACAATGATAGTTCTCCCGGAGACTTCAATTAGGTATGTCGGACCTGATATTGCATTGACACTAGTTTTAACTAATGTTATATGCGAAAATATTTTCTATCTCAGAGTATAGTGTGTGTTGTTGCACTGTCTACCAGACATATATCTTCACTATTTATCTTGGGTACAGTCAATGCCTTAGCTAGATCCATACCTCTTCATACACACAAAATATATATTTCATTACTTCAAACAAGAAATACAAACTAAATAAAAACATACAAGACAACCAAAATAAAAACATACTGGTACAACCAAGATATGGACATATTAATACAACGAAAATTTAAACATACTGATACAGACAAAATAAAACACACAAAGGATAACATGTTAGAGAAAGACACGTTAATTGGTATGGACATTTCCATCATCAATCAAATGATCAATACTATCACTAGGATCAGCAGAGAAGTTAGAAACATCATGGTGAGTAATATCAACTGGTTTGTCATAATTAACAAAATTCATTTCGATTTTCTTTCCTTTTCCCTTGTCATTCATTGAGGTACGACAAAGATCGGCTAGATGTTTAGGCATACGACAGGAACGCAACCAATGTCTTTTCATTCCACACCTATATCAAGGCTAGTCATCATATATCTCAGAAGCTTTTCCTTTTACCTGCTTGATCGCATTTGAATTCCACTTCTGGTGGGACGGTGTGGAGTTCCCAATGAGGAATTATGACCACCACGATTATGATAATTATTTCTATTGCGACCATATCCATGACCACCACTACGTCTGCGTCCATGGCCTTGAAATGAAGACACATTCGCTTCTGAGAATGGTACAAATCCAGTTGGACGGGACTGGTGATTTTTGTAATACCCCCGAATTTCCGGATGCGGGTTGGCCAGGCCCACGCCCGATTACCCGAGGATATCAAAACAATTAGCAATTTAATGAACACAGAATACAATATAGAAAACAAGAATAAATAAAATTTTGCTGAAAAGAACCTAGAATGATAATCCAATAATTGAAAACCTCAGAATAAATAATTTCATTGATAATTAAAACTATTTTTGATACAACTGATCCACCAAGAATGGAAATCGTTCTCCAATGTATACAACTCGGGAATCCATCTAGTGGACCCCTAAAAACCGATGGTACTCAAAAGACTGGAACAAAACCCAAGTCTTAACATGAAATAAAATCCTACGCCATCAGTAGAGTGAATAACTGTATCTGCTCAGCACGATCACGCTCTACAGCTCAGAACTGACGAACACCTGAAAAAAATAATAAAAGGGTGGGTCAGGCCCACTAGCAAGTTCTAATCTAACTGCAATCCATACAGTGACCCGATACGCAGATACACCATAGATACCTCACAATATCTATCTAGTCCATACATATATATATCCACACTATGGGACATTCACTGAACTACAGTAGGGATCTCAACCTGAATAGAAGGCAACATGCGAATACGCACCCAAAGGTGGGCATGAGTACCTAGACCTAACAGGGTACACCCAACCTACTATAACCAGCTACACGTCCACTGCATATACGCACCCTAACCAACAAGTTCGAGACTCAAGCTCAACTCGTGGTACCATAAACATATATATCTAAACTCCGTTCCTAACCATTCACAAGAAATCCGATAAGTCATTCGGCGTATTCAACCGTACCGACTTATATATATATAAGGAGGATTTATTTAACAACCCGTTCCCTTATTCCAAAACAGGTAGGACTGAGTATTTTAAATCAGTCTGTCCCTAGTATGCCACCGTCCCATACCGGTGCATACAATCCACAAAGTCCATATAATTGATAGAACCAGTCATACTGTTCACCAATTAAAATCCATAAGGTAGGAATTAGCATTTTGAGCTAAACCATACCTAGTATGCCACCGTCCCATACCGGTGCATACCTTCCTCCATATCCATGTAAATTACAACATTCAAATGATAAGCAAGTAATTTACAAGGCAAAACCAAAACCCAGATAATTGACAGAATTTTAATGTGAGAATTCAGCACTTAAAATCCAATACATAATTCCAAATAATTGGTCAAATTTAATATAAGAATTCCGCAATTATAATCCAAGATATGATTCCAAATAATTGACCGAATTAAGTATAAGAATTCAGCAATTATGTTCCAATACATAAGTCCAGGTAAATTACAAGGCATAAATAATAAGCATGTAATTTATAGTCCAAAACCAACCATCCACATCGTTGTAGAATAGTATTTAGTATTTCAACAACTTAAAACCAAAACCATGTAAATTACAGACTACGAATGATAGTACAGCAATTTAAAATCCAAAACCAATATCCAATTAATTACAGAAGATTTTTAAATGTTTCAGCATTTTAAATCCAAACAATTAACCATACAGTTACAGGGGGTGATTTAATAAATCAACAACTAACATCCAGAGCCTGCATAGATTACATCTAACACATCAATGACCCCATAATATATTTAAGACCATTTAATAAATATATTACATCCCACTGGAATGCCTAAAAATAAGCTTA